CGCTCCGCGCGCGCCTCGCGCCCCCCAGGGCTGTGGCAGCCTCGCCGAGCGAGCAGATGTCCCAGTCTGTCCCCTCACCCCAAAGGCATCGTAACCTTTGCTGCCATAAGTCAGAGCTGTCACCTGGTCCCGGCCCTCCTTTTCCCATGCAATGTGTGCCTCCTGCAAGCAGAGCTCGGCTCGCAGGCTAACAATGTCCTCTTATCTTGACTTTTCTTCCCATCTCGGTGCCAAGCCAAATTAAGACACACCAACTTTATGTTAAAACAGAGAATGCATTCAAATCCTTTGTATTAAATAGCATCTGTGTTTGCATTCTGTTTTAATACAAAATGCTTTGGATTGCAGCTAATACCAGGAGATATGAAACTGGTTAGTCCCCACATGTTGCACATAAAAAGAATTCATAATGAGCATCTGTGGGATGTGGAATGGATCCCATGAGTTAGCTGAAGACCTCATAACGTAAGAGCTGAGAAGCCTAAGTGAATTATGACTCTCTTTCCTTGCAAGTAGGATTAATTTTCTATCCCACTTATATTCATTATCTATCCTGTTTATACTATAGGGACATCAATTGTTTGAGTGTTAAATATGAAGACTTTACAGAAACGTGTAGGTTAGATAGCTTGTGGAGAAATGGGGGGATGTTACTGCTAGGAAAAACATTATTCAAACTCCATGTTTGAAGACCGCATTAGATAAAGATGCTCACTTTTTTTTTTTTAAGGACTGCAAATTCTGCTCTTTTCTCTTACAACATATTTAAAATGTAAGGTTTACAAAGTACCCTCCATCTGCCTGTGGCCCTCCCAGTGATGTCAATAGGAATTTTGCATGCAGATGAAGACCCGTATATGGCCTTTAGAGAGCAGGTCAATAAATGGCTGGAGGAATAATTAAAGACTTCTGAGCTGCTCCTTTCCTTTTTCTTACAATATAGTACAAGACTGGCATGAATATAGGCTGGGATACCACTCTAATTGGCTATGGAATAACACTGAAAGGAATTTAAATGTGGGCAGTAGCCATTTTCCAAATGATCAGTCCATTAGAGTAGTTTTGTCTGTCAATGTATGGCCAGGCAGTAGAGTGGATGTAATCATTTAGAAGTCCCCGTCCATTGATTGTCACTCTCTACTCTGCAGTGGCAACTCTAACCAGATTTCCATGCTTCAAAGGGACAGCCCGGATAGAAAGCCTGCCTTTAGCCAAGCTTGCTTCAGCTTGTTCCTGCCTTTCACCAGTTTTCATCTACATGAGCAGAACCAGACCCCCGTGATATTTAATGGCTACCTGTATGGCTAATGCTTAATATCTTAATTTAACTGTTTATGTAACCAAAAAGCCTGTCCCTGTGTCTTTGCTCACACGAGTAGCCTCAGTGAATCTGTGGAACTATTGACAGATAGTTTTGTATGCTGTAGGACTAGCAGGATTCAAAGGTAGGTTTGTGAATGTCTGCAGAATACGGAAGCGTTTTCTTTTTCATAGCCCTTAAAATATACCAAATAAATAATGTTATAACTGAAGAACAGCCCATTTTGATTGTTCACATCTTTTTTTTTCTCCAAATTAATGAAACAATAGTAAAACACAGTAAGAGTTCCTAGATTTGTATCTTATTTTGCCCATCAATGAAAATATCCATCATTAAGCTAATACTCTGTGCCATATTAAATAACGTGGCCCAATTCTCCTTGCTTTTCAGGAGTGAATTCACTGCTCTATGCTAGTATAAATGAGAAGAGCAAGCCCTGTATTTTTAATTCAGTTTATTTCTTATTTTGGTCAGATTATTGACAGACTCTGGTGTCTGAATGACATACTTTTTGTCTAAATACTGCATACTACTGTAAGATATTCTGCAAGTTGCTTTAGTATTGATTGAGCTAAGAAATGTTCTGGTACAGTGCTGCTGTTTCTTACAATGTACTGTAGATCCTTCTCAAGGCAAAAACATAGTAAAGATAAAAATTAAAAACACATGACAGTGTAATATAGTAGCATTTAATATTTATGCTTTACATATATCTATCTATCACAATTACATATATCTTTATTCTCGTTGCCAGTGTACTACTGTTCCTTTCTTTCACAGGTGAAAAAATATCTCTTCTCTGGAAATTCATTTCCATTTACTTAAAGTTAAATGGTTTGACTTTGAATTTTCATTATCTGCTGTTGGAAGGAGCTTGTGACAGGTAGGAGAGAGAATGCTACAAAGCTTCATTGTATCATCTAATTTTTGCTTCACTTTAGTCAGATATCATTTAGGTAGAGGGTAAAATACTATACGTAGAACAGGATAAGACAGAACAAAACAGAACAGAAATAAAATAAAATGAAAATAAGATATATAATGAATTACAGTAGAAAAATGCCTTTATCTTGAAGTGATTTTTTTTTTTAGTTTTACTGATTCCTCACTAGTGAGAAAATTGAACTAATTTTGTATAAAAGGAATATGTCATAACAGGATATGGCATTTATCTTCCTCAGATAGGGGTGACCTCATCATTCACAAGTGGCGTAGCTATGAATGAGTAATCAGCCTCCCCACCCATTAACTGTAGATAAAGTCCACATCTTCTGTCTAAGTATTAAATATTCGATTTATTATTTTACAACTCCCCATCTTTAAAAGTGTCTGCTGTTGAAGTGATTGCTGCTACAATATGTGCTACAATATGTGTTAGTGTGAAGCAAAAGGAGCTCCTCAAAAGGTGCCCTGTAATGAGAGTGAATGGGAGATGAGAAGGGAAGCAAAAATAACAGAGGAGAAGGAAAGAAGACGGACCACGCAGGAAAAAAAAATGTGGGCAGAACAAGGATAGGGAAATTCTTTAACTGACCTGTATTACAAAAGCTTTATACTTTTATAACATACATGCAGTGAAAATATTTTTTCATATTAATACCACACATATATCAGCTACCTCATATCTCAAGTTATATTGCCAAAGTGATTCCCAAAGGAATTAATATATGTATAATGTGAGAGGAAATATATAGTTAGGAAATAATTTCTTTTCACTATTTATCAGCAGTGCACATTAGAGAAGAGCTGCAGTTAAAAAATACAGTTTCTTTCTGCAACTGTTGAGCATAACAAATTTTTGCTTCAAGTGATGTCATGTGCTGCATTTTGTTTTCATTCCTTTGTAAAACCAATGAGTGCAGTTTAAAGAAAATATTTGGAGTTTAATTTTAAATCAAAAAGAACTGGCTGTTCATCTATGTAGAGAGCAAAACAAAGAAAGACTACCTCTAAATAGAACATGAAGTCAGGAAAAAAGACCATCAAAACTTAAATATGAAGTACTGGAATGCTTTCCATCTTTAGAAATCCTTGACGTACTTGGGGCTGGAAGAGCAGGGAAAGTTTTTTGTTGTTGTTGTTTTTGGTTTTTTTTCCCTGAAAGGTTGCCCTGGGAATGAAGGGCAAGATTAAGGTAGCTCCCTCCCCCCATATATTCAAAGGCAAAGCAAGCACAGAGCAAGATAGAAGGAGAGTGCCTGGGGAAAGTAGCATCACTATCGAAATCATAAAAGATGTATAAGGACATCAGTGAAAGAACTAGAAAAACTATTAGACGAAGGCCCTACAGGGCTCTCCCGATGGCTCAGCGATTAGCACACCGCACTGCCACTGCGAAACCGCTGCCACAGTCCGCGGCTCTTCCTGACATCTTGCTCATTGGCACTGGCAGCTGAGGGTGCAGACACAGTGTGGGAAGGACGAGACGTTGCCCGCAAGCCCAAAGGGCACCACGCTAACCAGCGGAGCTGCTTCAGGGAGGAGCATCAGTCTTCTCCGTTGTCATCTTGCCTAATTCCCTGCTTGCTTGGAAGTGGAGGAGCTGCCCTGGCCTAGGACAGCTGATTTTCCCAGGCTAGGGCAGCTGCATTATGGTTATTTTTTTTTCTTGTGTTGTAGCCTTTGCTCTGGCCAGAAATTTTATTTACTGGTCAGCACCAGAGCATTCCCAAAACACTGACCTCTCACAAATTGTCCAGCTGCTCCAGTAGAAGATCAAAGGACAACCATATAGTTTGTCCAGACTCTATCTGCTACTGCAACGAGCATGTAACTCACATGCTCTCTGATATTAGTCCAGGCAGTTTTTAACACCTCAGTACCCATTTCCCACCTCCTTAAAATCAGTGTTGTATGTCCAAAATAAGATAATCTGATTTTTGTTGGCATCAGATTAGGGTCATGGAGACCACAACTAAAGTTATCTGCTGCTTCCACCACAAAAAAACAAACAAACAAACAACAAACAAACAAAAAACCCATACCTCCTAGTCTGATAAGAAGCTTAGTTCAAGGAAATGGAAAAAAAAATCACATAGGTGCTTTTTTTTTTAATCTCAGGGGTTTCTAAATATCTTTCATATCTCACACTGTGCCCTCACCACATTCAGATTTTGGGGCTGGTAATCTCCCTTGTTCCCGCTTGCCCATAAAATGAGCAACTTTTAAAGGATTCATCAGGATACTTTCCCTTTTATATTTATTTAATCTTTATTTTCAGCCTGTGTTGGTGCTCCCACAACAAAATAATTTGCAGAAGCAGCTGTGGGTGTCTTCTGGAAAGATAGTATCAATCGGCAGCCTAATATTTTTCTGTGCACCCAGAGGAGGATTCTTATCCTTTCCCTTAGTGAATAGTGCTTCCCTTCCAATGCAGAAGAACAGAAACCACACACGCTCTCTTTCTCTTAAGTCTTTTTTGATGAATGAATCAGAGTGAATTACACACCCAGGCTATAAAGAACAGAGCTCCCTGCCTGAGCTCTTTGAGACAAGCCTAGCACGGTCCAACATAGCCCCTGTCTCTCTTTGGTGCAACTGCTGAGTCATGCAGCAGCGAACATGAGACAGCAAAATTGGCAGGACTACCTGTTCAGGCCGTTGCTCCTCTGCACCGCGCGCTGGAAAACGCTGCTCAGCCCCCAGTGCGGTAAGTGACAGAGCTGGCACCTCTCAGCCACAGGGGTGGTCACCATCGGGCTGGGTCCCTGCAGCCGTGCTGCTCCCCGGTGTCTTTGCTCTCTGCTAACAGCAACGTCGTGTTTTTCACCAGAGACAACAGCACATTGTGTCCGGCGTGGCAGCGTCCCAGGTGGGCAGCCATGGAGAGCTGCAGTTTCTGAAACGTCATGCGTACACAGGAGTCAGAAATAAAGACTTTGATCATTGGGCCCTGTGTTATTCCAAAAAAGAATCAGATCTTTCTCCCTAGGAAGTGTATGTGTCAAGGACTTTAATGCAGGGTAGCCTTTCAAAGCACAGATCCTTGCCCAGGCACAGGAGTCTGTAACAGAGCACCATTCTTATTTACAGTTATTTATTATTTCTGTGTCGGTTCTCACTATAAAGAAGCCGTGAAAGTCCAAATCCCCTCCACTTTTTTTTTTTTTTTTTAATTAATCAAGCAATTCAAGTACTGAGCTTATTCATAAGAGGCCTTCAAAGTTTATACACATTTCAAATCTTATTTTTTTCACTTTCAGGCAACTTCTCTGTTGTTTAAAAGAAAACAAACTAACTTTTCTGAAGTATTTATAAATGGGCTATTAAGAAGTTCAAAAACATAGTTTAATTCACTTCCAAGTTAGACCTACTTCCACATTGCTTCTGTTTCTGTCACTCCTCCCATACTATAATAATCAGTTAGAAGAACTGAACATATGTGACATGTAGCGCCCAGCCAAGTAGCCTTAATTTTCACTCTAGAATTTTCTTTCTTGAGGCTTTCATTCTGACAAGAGAGGAAAATGATCTGAGATTTTTTTCTTCTATGGCGAGCTAGACCTTTATTTTCCACAGGTAGGCTAGTTCACAGTCTGGTCATAAATTGCACCAAATTCAGAACACACTGAACTCCATCTCTAAGAGTCAATTCCTTTTTGTTCTTTGGTCATAAGTCTTGTCACCCTCTTAAAGTGTATTTTCATTATCAGAAAGTAGTCTGGACAGTAATTTCTGCCTAAATAAAGTTGATGACTTTACTGTATTCACTGGAAATTACCCAAAAAAAGGCTACCTAACGTTTTTCTTTTTATTGCCAGATGGATCATACTCTTTCATTTTTATAGAGATGAATGAACAACATAGAAAATGTCTCTGTGACTTTTGAGGCTCACTGTTAGGAATGGGCAGTGTATTGGATGAAAAACTTCTGGACACTCTGAAGGAAGTCAGACACGCATTAGTACCCTTAAATATGCAATTTAGCCATTATTTTCTCGTTTAAAAAGTTTGATGCATTATAAGTTTCAATGCCTTTTTATAATGGTCCGTTATGCAATATACAGATGTATAGGCTATGTATATATATATATATACAAATTCCATTAGGTCAAAATAAACTAAACAGGTTTTACTGTACTTTTATTTTCACACCCCTCCATACCAGTGATCTAACGTAGAAGAAAAAGGAAGGGAATTCCTACAGCCAAACTTTCATTTCTTTTGACATAGGTCCTTTATCTGGGAGACAACCTCCTACAGGCTTTCAGCTATATTTCATTTAATATAGATTTGGCCTTTTCAGGCTAGAACAAGAAGAAATATCAGAGAGTTCATACGAATAGATGTTATAATAACAGCAACATCTGCACAATAGCAATGTTTATTTTTAGCTGCTACTTTCCAGTTTCTGCAACAATTTTCTGGAAGAAATGTTTGTTACGAAGTGTGTGCTATCATGAGAAGTTTCATCATTAAAAACTGGCTTAATTTAGCTGGACTAATCAATATTTATTCCCTAAATAATTAAGTCTACATAGATAAATATACATACAGGTAAAATTAATTTAAGTCTTTTGGGCAATTATTGCTACCAGATAGCAATAATTCTTCCATTATTCAAATACAGTCACTGAATTCATTTTGAAAAAAAAAATAAAATCTTGTCTTAAAAACATTTCTAATATTCCATTTTATTTTCTGTACTGTCAGTCAGTAACACGGATTTTCTTTGCATCCAGTCCTTCAGTATATGCTAGCCAGATATAGTGACTAGATTTATCTGGATTATACTACTATGTATTACTCTTTTTGAAGCAGAACTTTTGATTCTAATGAGTTTCATTCAGCTGTTGTCAGCTTATGGAGAAGTACAAGGGGTGAAGTTCTGCATAATAAAGAAGACATTATACGCAAAAAAAGTCTTGAATTAATAAAATGACTAAAGTTGATATATCAAACACTCAAAATAGAAAAACAAGCTTAAGATTTTTCTTGAACTCACTGTACATCTTACACTTTTCATGGTGTACGTTAATAACATATACTTGAAAGTTTGCATATCTGAAGATACAGAAATGATTCAGTTTAAATAAAAATTGTTCTTAACTTTGAGAATGTCATTATTACATGCCCTTACTATTTCCACTAACATTACTTTTTTGTGCATTTTTTTTCTGAGGGAGAGGCCATGAGTGGGAATAGCCAAAAATAATTTGACTGCTGAGCGACTGTAAGCTCTTGAAACCTGTTGTTATAATAGATGATGGTTAGCATTGCAAATCATTCTGTCTTCCTTTTACTTTTAAGTCCCAGTATCTCTAATACATGTGTACATTCTTTCTTAGTTGAACACACATGGCTGGAGTCAGACCACACAACTTACAGAGTTTATAAATTTTGCTATCTTCACTGTTAGTTAGAAAGTCTTTAAAAAGAACTCCTTATTAAAGTTTTCTGGAAAAAATGTGAACATAAAGGAAAAAATACCACATGCATGTACAAATTGCTAACCTGAATATGCCCTTATGACTAGTGAACAACACCTCTTCAGATTTGGACTGGATTTTAGTATTGCACATTTTAGCACACCCACGTGCCATTCCATAATCTAAAACATACAATTTAACATGGTCCTGGAAATGGATGCCTATTGATTCATTATTAGGTTCAGTTATGATGCTGGAAGATGATGAAATTACTGCTAACCTTTCAAAAGGGATCCAGAACTGAGCACTCTCTATTAAAATTGTACAGAAGCTAGAATGAGACTCCTGCATCTCCCATCAACTTCATTTAGTATTATGTGGGGATCAGCATCCTTGAAAGACAAACCACTGCTGTTCGTAAGTGAATATTCAGAAATATGGTAAATCCAAGATGAAGACCTCTTTTGATATAATATTCACTGTTTGGAAAGTGAAATTGAGGATATGCTGGGGTTTTATGGGGAGGGAGCGGGAGCTGTGAAGCAGATGAGCCAAGGCCTTTTCAGCAGTTAATACTAGAGTTAATGTGAGTGTGAATCTATATTTCTTTGTTCAGAATTACAGTAAATGTTCTCTTGTGGAGAAATTGTTCAGGCTAAGGATAATTACAGTTACACAGTCATTCAGGTGAATTAGTGCAGGGAAAGGAAGACTGGCCTCATCACTAACAGCACAAGTGGCACGCAGCAACCAAGTCTAAACACCGGCTCTTCTGAAGTGTCCTCGCCTGGATATTGGCAACAGGATCTGCTCAAGCAGCGGATGTATATGCCATGCTCAAAGCTAATTATTTCGGCAGGATGACAGTGTGATTGTGATTAAAATATATATTAATATATATGGTATTTTAGACCTATAAATACATCTGCTCTGATTTATTTGGTCTGAGCTCATCTATAAATTGTCTGGCTTCTGAAGGAAAATGGCAAAGTTGTCTTGCATGTAGAAGGGTAGATTTCAAGCTAAATCAGTGGTTACAACAAAAACCCAAATGAATGACCGACTCTGAAGGAACTCAAACAAAGCCAGCTGTAATACACAAATAACAGAGAACATGTACACGTCTCAAAGAGATACCCAGCCTGAGAGCTGGAAGGGAGAAGGAGGGAAAAGGTGAGATTACACTTTCCCTCTGAGAAACCAAGAACAAGAGCAGCATTATGCTACAGAATAGTGGTTAAAATTGCAACACCCCTTATTCAATAATGAATTGGAGTAATAATTGAGTTGTAGTCTATTGCAAAGCAGAAAGCAAGCATGCTTGCGTTCCCCCAACTCTCTCTGTGCTGTCAGTTTAATTTCTTGCAAGAATTAGATGGTTCTCAAGAAAAATAAGACTAAGTGTCACAAATAACATCACCCTTTAAATAAGCATTCTGAATATGTCATGTCAGGTTTCTCATAAGGAAAGAGACACGTCTTCTTAGTAGGCTGTATAGAAGAATGCCGCTCTCTTTTCAAGACAGAGAAAAACATGTGTTTTACCAAAAAGTGTTTTAAAAAGAGAACTACCAAGAATTCTGCAAGATACTTCTCTTTCTTTGGAGCTTATATCCAGCACTGTTTATCTGGAGTCAACAAGCAACTACCACAAGCAACAATTTTCCATCAAAGTATGTTGAGGTTTGTTTTTGGCTTTATGAATTGTTTGAATATTTGGTCCTGACAGTATGATAGCGGAATCAACGGTCTAATGCTATTAAAAATGATTCTCTATTGAAATGAATGGAAAATAATTTTCAATAGTGTTTCATTGAAGTCAGTGGGCCAACACTATGAGGAGTGAGTCTCATTGAAGTTGACAGAGATTCATTTTTGATAGCAGGCCATTGAAGCCAAGACTGGAGGAAGTAAACCCTATACAGTGCAATTACATTCAATACAGCATTGTCTGCAAAGAAAAAGAGGCTTTAAGTACTGGATTTGTGCATAGTTACTTTCCTGCAATATATACAACCACTTACAGAGAAGCATCTCCTACACTAGTACTGGAGCAAGTTTGTAAGCAGATGTTGCACTTAAGCTTTCAGGATGACCATACAATATCATACCACAGCAGAATTGACCTTTTTTTTTTTCCCCTCCCTCTTGAGAGAGAGGGAGAGAGAATGCTAGGAAAGGTATCACAAACCCTGCACTTTGAGCAGTGTCACAAGCTCTCACTTTTTGCTAGGCAGCCATCAGAATGAGGCCACTTGAGTCTCATGCAAAGGATAGCAACTGTATTCTCCCAAGACAAAAGAACATTGTTTTCTGGTATTGATTAAGAGTACTTTAATTTTAGTGTAATGTCACCAGAACACTTGCAGGACTTGCAGCATTTGCTAATGCAGAATAAATATAGCTGCTCTCATCTAGGAAAAAGCATCTTTAATACTTTTTTTTTGCCCTTTTGATTTTTTTTTGTAATAAAATCTTTATT